AATAATAATAATAATAATAATAATAATAATAATAATAATAATAATAACAACAACAACAACAACAACAACAACAACAACAACTTACACATTTCCTTGAGCAAAAACTCTCAGTTGAAACCCTTCTACTTATGAATATTGTATACTTCTATTTCAAAGAACCACCAAATAATTCTACAAAATCATTAAAATACCAGTTTCAATGAGTGGGTCCACACACCTAAGAGAGGAGACCCGCCATCATAGGCTGGAGGTTCCCAGGTCATAATACACCAGTCTTCTCCTATCTCAGTCACATTGGGTGCCTCTGGGGCATCAGGAATATCTGTTGCAATTAGAAGTTTTAAGTTTTATTGGAAAAGCAAATATTTTTGTTCATCTCAGACAACATTACTTATAGCTATATTGGAGCAAATATCCAGACTCACTTTAAAAAAATCCAAAGTCACTTACATTATGGAATTAACCACAAATAAGCTAAATCCTATTGGTTTCAATAGATTGGATTGAAGACATATTTATTTGGGATTTCACATCAAGTTTTCATTAAACAGATAATGTTTAATGAAATGTTACAAATGTTATAATCGAAATCAGTGTTTTTCAACTCAGCAACTTAAAAATGTATGGATTTCAACTCCCAGAATTCTCCAGCCAGAAATTCTGGGAGTTAAAGTCCAACAACTTAAAATTGCTGAGGTTTCCAGGATGAAATCTCTACTGAATTAGAAAGAAATTCATTTGGGGAAAAATCACTTAAGAGTCCTATTTTAACTCACAGCTATTGAAAAGCTAAAGCCACACCATTTAAAATGATTGAAAATATACTCTTTTGCAGAATTCTAAGTCATTAGGTCAATTTTCATGCTGGTTGGGACTTATAGGAGTTTGCAGTCACAACACTTATGGAGGGCATCAGCTTGGAAAAGGCTGAAATAGGAAGAGCATTGGTGCTACTTCAGTATAAAAGCCATGCATAGCATTGACATACCAACTACTTTTATATTGATGACGGCGGAGTCTTCTCCAGCTTCATTCTTCAGCATGATTCTGTAAGGACCTGAGTCATCTTTTTCAGCTGAATCAATCACCAAACAACTACTGTCTGGATAATTCTCTCCCCGTATTCTGGATGCAGAATCCATGATCCACTGTCAATCATTTTGCAAAAGGTAGGGGGTAGGGGGAGAAAAATAGTTTAAAGGTGGTGGCGGTTAGAAATCACCAGAGGATCGACAATCAGAATTGAATTAGGATAAATCATATGGAAGCTGCACAAATGTAGTAAGGAATTTGTCAGATACCCCATGGACTCATTCTTGATACCTCAGGGTTTGCGCTTACTTTAACAATGGTTTTTGTTTTTTTTAATTTTTAAAATCAGAATGAGAGGTTGGCAAGCCATAAAGCAAAGCGCCATGCCACCAAGTCATCTTTATGTTTAAAGACTGGCTGCAGCTTAACATGTGCCCTCAAGACTTTCTTAGCACAATTAAAAGTACATGATTGCCACTTTGTCTTGATTTGGAAGCATATCTATTTATTGGGAAAGTGTGTATGTGTGGGGGAAATCACTTGAGCTAATAAAGGAAAACTTGGGGGAGCAGCAATCTTCCCAGTTTATTTTTTGATAAATGGTTATTTTGCAAGACATATTCCACTGTGCTCAAGGCCCAGTCACAGATATTATTGAATCCCCTTGGAAAAATATTTGCATCCTTAAAATTTATCTCCCCACTCATGCATTAAGGAAGCATTGATGCTGCATGCTAATGTCTAGCAATATTTCTCACTTGTACAGGTAGTCCTCATTCAGTGACCACAATGGGACTAGCAATTCAGTCATTAAAAGAAGTGATCAATAAGTGAAACTGCAACTGTGCTTAGGATCTGACTTCAGCGTTACTTGGCTTTACAGACTTGTCAAGGTTGTAAATGCCAGGATTGGTTGCAAGATTACTTTTGCATCATGGTTATAACTGTAAAGAGTTGCTAAATGAGGCAGTTCCTAACTGAGGACTACCTACATATTCTTATGAGTGTTTTCAAAACAGTTAGGAAACAATGGTCTAGCAACTAAGAGGGATAGTAGGCAGTCTTATCTGCTGGGTATGGTAAAAACAACAACAACAGTATGCCAGTGAGGATGGTATGATTGAAGCTTTGTCTATTTTTTATCCACCATGTTGGAAGAAAAAAATCTGGTCCATTTCCAAGCTGAGAGAAAGGCGCTGGACATAAAATGGAGGCGGATTGGAAAGAAGGATTCTGTTAATTGGAATCAGAACAATAGCATGCAGTTCTGGGACAGCTGGAAAATTGGTTGAACGAGTGGGTGGATCTTTATAGGTTTCTGTGACTTTGAAGTTTGAACTGTTTTTGGGATTCTGCCTTTAAGAGTATGTTTATCCATTTCTCCTTTGGGGAAATATAATATTCTGCCTCTTAATATTCCCAAAAACATTTCCTTCTCTAGGAGCAGGGGGTGGGTGGGGGCTTCCCACAATCACTCATAAAAAAGAGATGCGAAGCCTGGATTTTTGATCACACCATCACAGCGGCCAACTTGGCTTTTTTTTACTATTGCTTTTGTAGGTGACTTAAATTCACAGAAAAAAAAATTAAAGAATGTTGATCTATTCCTAATGTTTTCCTAATTTTACTGGTTGTCCTCGACTTAATGATCCTAGTGGAGCTGCCCATCATAGTTGTAAAGCAATTCACTGTGGGACTTCTCTGATTTTATGACCTTTTTGCAATGATTGTTAAGCAAACCAATTGTTTGTTATGGGCCAATTTTGGCTGAAGTAAAAACATTGTAAAATGTGATGATGTGATCACGGGCACTGGAAACGGCGATAAATACAGGCTGCTTGCCAAGCACCCAACAAGTAGTCACATGTTGTGGAGATGTGTGTGGCCATCAGAACTTCAGAACCAGATCATAAGTACCAATTGGGAGGTCCATTGTAACTTCAGGTCACTAACCAATTGGTTGTAAGTTGAGGACTACCTGTTTGTCATCTCCCAAAGATACCAATTATCCCTTCTATCTTTTTTGGATGCCTGTGATACTTTATGAATGGTTACTAATATACCTAATTATCTGAAAGTAGATTATTAGATGTGATTGCAACTTCAGCACCTTATAACCACTCCTAAGCTTAGTTCAGATGCATAGTACTTATTGGTAAAAGGGATTCTGAGTACTTCAGCAATAACAATAGCACTTAGAATTATATACCACTTCACAGTGCTTTACAGCCCCCTCTAAGCAGTTTACAGAGTCAGCATATTGCCCCCAACAATCTGGCTTCTCCTTTTACTGACCTCGGAAGGATAGAAGAAGGCTTGAGCTGGTAGAAATCGATCTGCCAAACTCTTGGTAATCGGCAGTCAGCAGAATTAGCCTGCAGTACTGCATTCTAACCACTATGCCACCCCTTTCATGCCATTGCTTATTTTATTACAACTTGTTTAAAAGATTGGACTTAAGATGTATTTGTTTAAATTACAATTTTACCTTCTCTCCCTTGCTCCACATAACCTTTGGTGGAGGCTCCCCAGAAACAGGAATTTCAAGACGTAATTTTGTTCCTGCGACAACTGTTACTGTGTTATTATCACCAAGGCCATCAAGGTGAATCTTAGGAGGATCTGTAAAACCAAGGTACTTAGGAAAACATCTTAAAATCTGAACGTGTGATACAAGAGACATTTCCATCTCAGAATGGAGAAACATCTTCATACATACAAAGGCAGAGTTAATATAATATTCTGAAGAAGAGTTTTGGGAGTTAAACTAACCTTCCTAGAAAAACCTAAACTAGCTCAGCTATATAGTATCAAATTTAGCAGTCACCCTCTGCCCAAAACCATTTTCCCAGGGTAACTGAATTGTCAGCTCAGCCAAAAAACATTTAGAAGGTGAGCAATGAAATGTTACCAGAGAGCAAACAGACTCTGAGAAGTAGGAACATTTTGATTAACCTTGTAACAATAACTCCTCAAAAAGAAATTATGTATATGAATTGCAGCTTTTTTTGTTCTCTCAACCCCCATTGTCTTTTACAGTTCTGCTCTGTTATCTCATAGTTACACCCTAACCCCAACATTGTCTTCATTAGATACATGATGTACTATAGTCACATCATGTTGCTATTTCTAATTATGTATACACCCCGATTTGCATATAATCCTACACTTTTTGTGTTATCTCCAGCACTGCCAATAAACTAATTTATGCTTTGACATACAGTAATTGTGTCCTAGTCTCTGGTTCAAAAATATCCCTGGAAAAATGCTCATACAATATAGAGGATAGCAGAGAAACAATTTCTACATGTAAGTTTAAAAACATTTAATATATTCCTTATTATTTTTAAATCAGTTCTTCCTATGTATTGTTTCAGATATTTATTAGCAAACTAATTTGTTCAGATGCAGTAATAAAAAGCATCAATATTTTTAGTACTTTAGTGTGCTATAATCAGGACTCCCATTCCATTCCATTCATTTTCTACTCCATTTTACTCCACTCCACTCCACTTCATCCTCATCTCCACTTTCCATTCTCCATTCACTCCACTCCACTCCATTCCATTCATTTTGTACTCCATTCCATTCCATTCCACTCTACTCCACTGCACCCTCATATCCACTCTCCATTCTATTCCTTTCCTTTCCATTCTATTCATTTTCTACTCCATCCCTGTGCACTTGTCTTATTATATAAATACATGACAGAACCAAAAAAGAGAGAAACATAGGAGTTACCTATAATATGAACTTTACAAGGGATGTTGATATTGTAGGCATCTGGAACAAACATGTATTCGCCATCATCCTCCACAAGTGAGTTATTAATAATTAACCGATGGATTCTATAAAAAAAAAAATCAAGATAGGAAACCAAAATAAATATTCTGATTCCTGCATGGCCAGATAAGTACATGGGGCAGAGGGCCCAATTTTGGAGAAACTGGGTGAGGGTAAATGCAAAAGGACAGCTAAACTGGAAAAATCCTCTGAGCTTGGTTATTAATCTAGAAAAAAATAATAGAGGAGACTGCATTGCACCAGCATTTACACAATTGTGTTTCTTCTATTATACCTTCACACCAGCCTGTTATTAGTTTGTGTAAAACCTATAATAGCTTGTATTGTTGTGAAAAGGTAAGGCAACTTGAAAAACTCAGCTTTTCAAAAGCTTTTGGAACTTTGGCAAATTCAGCATATCAAGCATTTCTTTTGTGTGCAAATTGCAATAATAGATAAGCTCCAAATGAGAAAAAAATGAGCTTGAAATGTATACAGGTAGTTCTTGACTTACAACTGTTCATTTAGTGACTGTTCAAAGTTACATCAAAATTGTGATCAAAATTCAGACACTTGGCAACTGGATTGTATTCATGACGGTTGTAGTGTCACTGGGTCATGTGAGCACCTTTTGCAACCTTGTCAAGATCACAGTCAATGGGGAAGACAGGTTCATTTAACAACTGGGTTACTAACTTATCAACTGCATTGATTCATTTAACAACTGTGGCAAGAAAAGTTGCAAAATGGGGAAAAAACCCACTTAACAAATGTTTCACTTAACAACAGAAATGTTGGGTTCAATTGTGGCTGTAAGTTGAGGACTACCTGCACACATGAGGTATTGAAAAAATCTGCATAGAAACTTTATTTGAAAATTGAATCTTGAGTTCAAGAGGGAGCTATATAACATTTTGCAGAAAAAGGATGCTGGTGAAGAGTTTAATAATGCAATCCTAGGTAGGTTTAATTAGAAATAAAGCTTGGTGAGTTTAATAGTATAAATTCCCATGTAAATTTGTCTTTGTATCTGTTTATCATTATTACTGCAGCTTTTGAAAATAAATGCACTGGAGTTAAAGATGGGGGAAGAAATTAATTTAGTTCATATTTTAATTGAATGTTGGACCAATACATGAATTAACTTTCTTACAGTTGTGCAGATTTTGAGATTATTCAACCATAATTTAAAACTATTTTAATCACCTCTTCTTCATTAAAACAATCTCAAGGTGAAAAAAAAGTACTGTACAAGTATATATATTCATAAACCAATATACAAAAGTGCTAATATTGGCAATTGTTTGCAAAACATGGCTGCAGTAAGCAAAATTGCAAAGAAAATTGCACATACCTGGAGGTATGTACATCGAAGTACAGTTTTTAGGATTAATTAAAAAAAAAGACTTCTCAAGTATAATGAACTAATGAGATATTTACAAGAATGAATATCTGAACTTCATATATTTATCTACGGAGCTGCAAAATTTTCTATTATGGCAACAGAGCTTTCTAATGCTCCCTGGAATCTTCTGATTTTCTTTCACCTGTTTTGGAGCTTGTTCAACATGTTCTGGTTCTGATTATTCTGAAATGGTTCCAGGCATTTTTCAGCTCATCATAGTTTCTCAGATCTGGGGAACAGCCACCCAGAAAACAAGGAACTCTTCCAAGAATGACCAGGTTGGCACATACCAAGTGAAAGGCAGAATATTATGGTCATTCAAGAACATTTTGTTGCTGGAACAGAGTTTTGCACACAACTAGATTATTGCCAACTTTATTGGAAGCATAAATGGAATGATTTGGAAGAATAATTGTTAGGCCAAAATGTTTTTATTCTGAAACCCTGGTTCAATTTCACAAATGTCTTTGAGAAAATCCTTTGCTTTTACTATCATTATTTTGCCTGGTCTAAGTTACAAGCTTACCTTCCTTTGTGATATATTTTGATGCGATCACTGGGCTGGAGCAGCTGCCCATTTTTGTACCACTTTCCATCAACATTTTCAGAAATCTCACACTTCAAAGAGAGCTCTTTGCCGAGCCTGATGGTCTGATCTTCCAGTGGATGCAATATCTTCAGTGGCCTCACTTAAGAAATGAGGAATGAAAGACTGCTAGTTTTGCCTTATTACGGGATATTTATTCAGTGACACCAGACTAGATCACATACTTACAAGTCTAGAGTATGGGGCTGGTGTGTGTGTGTGTGTGTGTGTGTGTGTGTGTGTGTGTGGTGCCCTGCTGGCCACCTAATTTTGAACCTTGTAAATGTGCACAAAAAGGAGTGCATGTGCCATTGACACTTGTATAGATTTGGAAATTCTAATATTTATTTACATATCTAAATTTGAAATCACCCATCTTTCTCATAGACGGGTACTACAATTTTAGTACCTAAAAATGGTACAGAAACTTTAAAAACAGACTAGCGTGGTTAAAAGTTAATTAAAAGGCAGAGGGAGGACTTTCAGGGTGCTAAGGAGCCTCATGGCTGCGTTTCCCAGGCAAGGCTGCCGAATCATGTTTTTCCACCTTTCCAAAAGGCCAGGAGGTTTGAGGCCTGTCCAGGAGTTTAGCAAATTTTAGGAAAGCATTCTCTGTCCAGTTGCTGGGTGGGCATGGCTTAGTTGGTCTCCTACACCATGGCGGGGGGGGGGGGCATTTTTGCCCTCCCCAGGTTCTGGAGGCTTTTCTCGAGCCTCCAGGAGGGCAAAAACAGCCTCCCCGGGCTCTGGAGGCTCTCTGGAAACCGGAAACAGGCCCATTTCTGGCCTTCCTGAACTTCCGGGAGGCCCGTTTTTCACACTCCCCGAGCCTCCGCGCGCACCCTGCACTTACCTGCATCCAAAATGGGCTATGTAGGGAACTCCTGGGAGGAGAGGGGAGGGGAGGGGTGGGCAGGGCCAGCCAGGAGTGGGATTTGGGTTTTTTTTTTTGAACTACACAGAATCTCAGCTGGGGCTCTCCCAAACCCTCAGCAGCTCACTCCTGGACCTGTCTCACCTAGGGGAGGGAGAATGAGGATGAGAACAATGCCAGATAAAGTTCTCTTCCTGGACTTTGCCAGTCAGAATTTTTTAGCTAATATGCATCTACAACTTACCAACTTTTTAATAGGCTGATATGAGATGCGGAAGTATTATTCTTTAAATATAAAAAATCATTTTTATGTAAACGAGACTCACAATATAACACTTATTTGATGCAATGGGTTATCTGCTCTGTCAGCTTACACTTGTGGGTGGGGTTGTTATTTTAAGCAATTCTAAGTGTTATTTGAATTATTCTTCGCTGTCTTGAATAGCTAACCCATAATTTATTTATGTATTCAAACATCTATGGGACTCAAAATGTTTTCTAATCAAACAAAATCATAAACAATTATTTTTGTTTGGTCTAGTGTTTCAGGCACTAGGTAGAAAGTGGGAGACCATAAGTTCGAGTCCTACTTTAGCCATGAAAACCAATTGTGTGATCGTATGCCATTATTCTCTCTCAGCTCAACCCACCCAGAGGTGGTATTCAGCAGGTTCTGACCAGTTCTGGAGGACCAGTAGTGGAAATTTTGAGTAGTTTGGAGAACCGGCAAATACCACCTCTGATTGGAGATTTTACAGTATCCTTCCCCTGAAACGCCCACCAAGCCACACCCACAGAACCGGTAGTAAAAAAATTTCAATCCCACCACTGAACCCACCTCACAGAGTTGTTGTTGTGGGTAAAGTAGGAGGGGAAAGGTGTGTTGGATGTGGTCACTGCCTTGAGTTATTTGTAAAAATAATAAATACAATAAATAAAATGAAAATAAATATAAGGCAGTTTGCTAGATAGCACCTTGTCATTAAACTTTTTTAAGGCCAATGGATTGGGGGTATTCCTTATCTCAGGAGGCATCAGATTCCAATTTTTTTTTGGGGGGGGAGGTGAGGGACAGCCACTTGAGAATATAAAAGATTATCCTCAAATCCCTTAATGTATCCTCCCTCAGAATCATGGGATAGGCCATACCTAGACAGGAAAGATTATCCTAGAGGATAAGCATAGAGGAATTTAAAAGTGATAACGAATATGTTGAATTGGACTCTGAACCAATGTTGGCCTGCAGTACAAATGTTAGATCACTTAATCTGCTGTTGATATGTCAATAGAGAGGCCATCACATTTTGGATCAACTAAAGGTACCACTTTATCTTCAAAGCAGTCAAAGCCTATCCGTGAGGTGACAAGGACGTGCTTATAGTTATTTTTTTAAAAAGGATTCCTGCTAATAAACTAGAAATAAAATCTTCACTCACAACCAACGTCCAGCTTGCCAGCTGATTGTCCTCCAGTTGTCATGACTGAGTAAGTTGCCTTGTCCGCTTTTGTTGCTTCTTCAATAATCAAAGTGTGCTTTTTACCCTCAATTTTAACTTTATATCTTGATTTACTATCAAGAGGCAACTCCACACCATTCTTAAACCTGATGAACAATAACAACAGCCAAAATGGTATAATTAACTTGAAAGCGTTTTTACTTAAAAAAGGTATCAAAATCTTTATTTGATTGAAAAAAGCCATCCTTTAAACAAAACAAAACAATACAAAACAAAAGCATGGTCTATGAGACAAATGAAGGAGAGAGAGGGAGAAATCTTGATTATATAGGATCAGGTATAAAGTTGCAGAGTTTAGCTTGGTTTTGGTTTTTAACAAAAAGCACACCAGCATCTGTGACTATGATTAAATTCAAGCAAGCTTGTAGCTGCATGCATATACAAAGGTGCATGGTTTTGACCTATGTTGCACATTTTGCTTTTTTTGATCTCGTCTGCAGAAACCAGAGAATAAGCATGACATTTATCTTTGGTTTTCACTTTCAGAAAAACCATAGTTCTGGTATAGCTGAAAGGATTATTTTGACCATAAGATCCAATCTCCTATCTAATGCAAGAGTTTTACCTTCATTTCCACACTGTTATTAAATTTTACCGTAATCAAGTTTTATTCAATAGCTGTGAAACAAATAGGCAATCAGAAGGGACTCCATATATCCAGAACAGCCCTGGTAGTTCAGTGGTTAGAATGTAGTATTTAGACAAACTCTGCCCACAGCCTAGAGTTTGATCCTGACAGACTTTAAGATTGACTCATTCTTCCATTCTTTTGAGTTGGGAAAATGAAGACCCAGATTGCTGAGGGCAATATGCAAATAATACTTACATTGTAAGCCACTTAGAGCGTGCTATAAAGTGCTATAGCATAGTATGTAAGCCTAAATGCTATTGTTATTGCTGTCCATCTATTTGTAATCCAGCTGCCTAGATTACTAATAATATAAATGTAAATTGAAGCCTTCATTTGGTATGAACCATGGAAGCTCTGTCTTCTTCATTCCTGGGAAATATTCTACACGATGGATGTCAAACTTGAAATGTCACGTGACGTATCATGACTCCCCCCCCTTTGCTAAACTGGGGATGGGCTTGGCCAGAGCATGATGTATCCAGCCCATGGGCCATGAGTTTGACACCCCTGTACAGAAGCATACAAATTCCTTATTGCTGCATAATTCCAATGGGCATTTTAGTGGGTTTGTTCTACCGTGTTTCTCACAAAATAAGGCCGGGCCTTTTTTTTTTTTGACACCTGAAAAAATGGCTAGGCCGTCTTTTCAGGGGTGACTTAATTTCCACCCCCCTTGCAACCTCGGGTGCGCAGGCAGTGACAGCTTGGATGTTGACCTCGGCGTTGGTGGGGCACTTCGTACCGAGAGACCTTCCACAACCGTTGCTTTCCCTTCTCCCTTGCTGCCGTGGCATTTAGAGCAACGCCGCAGTGTTTGGCATAGCCATGTGCAGCTAGCCAGGGCTCCTCCCTGCAACCGGAGCCCGGCAGAGACACTCGGCTTCAGGCACTCCTGTCGCCGCCCTCCACTTTGCCTTCGAAGGTAAAGCCAATTCTTTTAAAAATGACGCCCTACTACAACAAAGCCTCCCCTGCCCGAGAGGGCAGCCCAACCCCACGTGGGGAGGTGAATTTCCCAGGGCTGCAGCGCAGGATCAGCCCACCTCAGGAGAAGTGCCCAGCCGCCATCCCTGCCTGGCGCTGGACAGAGCATGAAGAGCTTCGCCTGGAGCGCCCAGCGCAGCTGACAGGTGGGCCCGCCTTCCCGGCAGCAGAGCTCTCACCAAGGCAGCAAGCGCCTCCCTGCCAGACCCTCTGCTCATCCCACCAGGGCCGCACCAGAGCCGTATGGGCTGGGCAGAGCCAGGAAAGCGAGCCATGGGTGTGTGCCCACCTGCCAAGCAAAAGAGCCGGGCCGACCTGAGCTTGGCTTCCTTCCCAAGTCCCTCCAGCGTGAACCTGAAGGGGCCACCGGGAGAGGCTGCCCGAGGCAGTGATAGCGCCCACCCGTCCACGGACAGGGAGGTGAGGTGATGGCAGCGCTGCTTCCCTGGCTGGTGGAGAGAGCCCGAAGCCGCTCGTCCTTTCCACCCCTCGCCCATCCCATCCCGGTGCATCTCCAAATGCATTGGCAGCTCCAAACGCTGCAGCGGAATGGGCATCAGGCAAAGGTGGGACTCAGCTTGGAGGAGGACGTGGTGCAGGCTGTTGCCTTGCCTCCCTGTCCATGGATGAGTGGGTGCTATCACTGCCTTGGGTGGTCTCTCCTGGTGGCCCCTTCAGGTTTGCGCTGGAGGGACTTGGGAAGGAAGCCAAGCTCAGGTCGGCCTGGCTCTTTTGCTTGGCAGGCGGGCGCGCACCCGCAGCTTGCTTTCCCGGCTCTGCCCAGCCCGCAAGGCTCTGGTGCGGCCCTGGCAGGATGAGCGGAGGGTCCGTACCGGTAGTAGGATGTCGTTTTTAAAAGAATTGGCTTTTCCTTTGAAGGCAAAGGGAAGGCAGCGACAGGAGCACCTGAAGCCGAGTGTCTCCGCTGGGCTCTGGTTGCAGGGAGGAGCCCTGGTGGGCTGCACGTGGCTGCACCAAATGCATGTGGCTGCGCCAAATGTTGATCTAAATGCCACGGCAGCAAGGGAGAAGGGAAAGCAATGGTGGGTGAAGGTCTCCTGATACGAAGTATCCCACCAACTCCAAAGTCAACACAGGCAGCACCATATCCGGGTATGCAACAAAACTACTTCCTAACGGCAAGTGCCCCCGCCATTCCCCCCCCCATTTCGCATGTTTAATATAGGCCTTAATTTGGGGGGAGGGGCTTAATTTGATTTTATGCCGATAAAACATGCTGGGCCTTCCTATTGGTGGAGGCAGTATTGTTAGAGAAACACGGTAATTTAGAAAAGCTTGATGAAAAAATTCATCAGGACAGTTTCCATTTGTCTTCATTCTGTACTGTATGCTTTTGTAAAAGGTTATCAAGGCCCTTAATTTTTTTGTCATCTTTGGTGACTTCTGTTTAGCAAGCATTAAAAAACCTTTTTGTTTTTAAATAAATGAGTTTGGTTCATAAGGATCCAAGTCAGCTCAGGATTAAAATATTTATGAAAGAAAGAAGTAAGTGGCCTACCACTTTACGTTTGCATCATCTTCAGACACTTCAACTGATAATTCTATTCTGTCACCAATATAACCATTGGTATCTTCCAGGCCTTTTGTCACTATTACTGGAGGCTCTGAAGGAAGAAAAAGAAAACACATCATGAACAAATGATTACAAAGACTCATTTAAAAAAAAACAAAAACAAGCCACTTATAACAGACACTATAGACACTATAACTTATGCCACCTTTAATACAATATTGAACACCGAACTAAAGAGGTTCTAGTCATTCAACTAATTTCTCAGAGGTCCTGTTAACTACTGCAGTGATCTTCACTGATTTTTTAAAGGCAGAGCTAATCATACTTGTTCTTCAGAATTCACCCCGTCTCAAAACTTACGTTGAAATCAGCCAACATACCACAGAATATGGTGCAAACGTGATCACTAAGACTCTTTAAAAAAAAAAGCCACTTACAATAGACACTATAGATACCACACACAGAAAAGCGCACACACTGCTAGAGAGAGAAGTTATCTGAAGATGGGCTCCAGCATGAGTCCAAAAACTCAGAAAGCAAAACCTCTGCTCCCATTAACCGACTCAGATTGGATCCTATCCTGGGACACATATATTCGCCTTCTTTCATAAAACAAGCCATTTCTGAAATTTGGTGGTTTCTCTTGCTATAGCTTTCTTTGAATCAGAGAGACCTATATACCATCTAGAAAAGTGAAGTTCTCAGGGATTTCAGAGGCTAATCAGGCATTTAATTTTAGGGTTATACACTTGGATCCATTTTGCATTGGATTCTAAGATCCTCCCCCATTCAACCAGCAATAATGACAGCACTCTGTAGATCTTACTGAAATTTGCCTATTTGTCTGCAAAATGATTGTCTGTTAAATGGGGATAAACCTGAGTTTAACTTGTCTGTGTTTAATCTGAAATCTAACATACTGGCATTTATTGAAGTGAGGTTTGTATCAGGGTTCCAAGCAACAGACCCAAGGCAATCAAAACTCTGAGGCCTGGAGTTTCCTCAAACTATGAATTTATTAGGAATGTCATATTGGCACAACTGGGGAAAAACTGACTCTGAAGGACCTGAAGTTTGCCCCACTCAAACTAAAACCCAAAGTTCTTGCCCACAAGTCACATGCTCAACACATAGTCCAATCAGGTCACAGTCCCAATTCTGGCTGGCCTCTGTCCATGCCTTTCCAACACCTGGTGGAGCATCCTTGGCTCCCACGGAAAAGAACGTTATTTTGGCTACACCCCACCAGCTATCTTTATCTCCGCCCCCTCATGTTCCCACAGCTCCAACTGGCCTTGCTGTGGCAGCCCTGAAGATGGTCCTAAAATGGCTCAGGGCTGACAGTTTGACTGTATTAAAGAAATGGACTGAAGCTTTGAAATATCAACAATGATTCATTACTGTACCTCTAACAAACAATTCAGTTGAGCATTTCTCATCTCCTGCTGTGACATGATAACGGGCATCATCTGTCAGCGAGCAGTTGTTGATAAATAGGATTCTCTCATTACCTTTGTGTTCAAATATGTATCTATGGGAAAATGGCAGATTAACGAAGTTGGAATTATTAGACGATGTAATTATTCTTCAACCTTCAGATCCTAAGTGGGTACTTCACTGTGAAGTGATTGATGCAACAGGAGGTATTCAAAAACACTTACCTAATTAGGTCACTGTGTCTGGCATGCAGGTTCCTTTTTTAAACTGTAGATAGATAGGCTGTGTGCAGTTAGGGATCATAGTAGCAATTTGGAAGTGGGTATATTTATCCCTTTCCTTCTTGCTGTAGTCTTGATAACAATGAGGGATTCCCCCACCCCCAGAGAAAAATGATTCCCTTGTCTCTTCTCCAGCTGATATTTTTTGTACTAAATTCCTCTACTTCCACATGCTTTTTTAGAATTTGGGTCCAAGACTGATGGAAAGACAGATTTAACATTTGGCCCTAAAACTTTCATGGGGAAACATGCAGTGCAAACACAAACTTCAAGAGTTCTGAACACAACAGTGGCTGAAACTCTAGCTGGGGGGAGATGGAAATAACCGTAACAGGAGCCTAGTTCCATTCCTTCACTCTTGAAATATTTTCAAAAGTACAATAATAGCTGGGGCAAAGTAGCTAACATTTCTGGTAGGCCATATGGCTCATGGGATACGTAATAGGATATGGTGCCTTTCACCTTAAGGTCATTGGTTCACATTTGTTTCAGGTCAATAATGACCAAAGCTCATTGCCATCCTGCAGCTGCTCAATAGTCTGGACTTGGTATATTCAGGCCAGTATATTCAGGCCAGAAGAAAGCACTGAAAGAGATACAGACTGTATTTTGGAAGTTGAAATTCTTTCGCACTTGGATCAAAAAGTTAACTTAAAGGACATAGTGGAAGACTATACCTTATGCCACCTTTAATCCAATATTAAACACTGAATGAAAGAGGTTCTAGTCGCTCAAACTAATTTCTCACAGGTCCTATTAACTAGCTCATCTTGCTTCCTTGCTTCTTTTCTCCTTCTAGATTTCATTGCTAATTAACAGTGATGGAGAGAACTT